AATACAAGCCGTTTATTTAAACGATTTTTTTTAAATTTCTCGTACACGTACGTATATACGGAATAATATACTTAGAAGAGAGAAAATTATGTAATGTGGCGGAAAATCGATTTCGATATTTCAAGGAAAATTCAAATTTTGGGATCCGATGCCGAAAACGTGTTTCTTTAACGTCCGATCGTCTATCCATCCGTCTGTTAGTCCGTCTGTTAGTCCGTCTGTTAGTCCGTCTGTTAGTCCGTCTGTTAGTCCGTCTGTCCGTCCGTCTGTCCGTCCGTCTGTCCGTCCGTCTGTCCGTCCGTCTGTCCGTCCGTCTGTCCGTCCGTCTGCCCGTCCGCTTTTCGTTCCCTGTATTCATTCGCTCAGAATACAGCAACCACTTTGATTAATCATCGATCATGTTACATAGGATTTCTAATGTTTATATTGTACATACAATAACATTATAACTGCGCCCTGACGTGCAGATTTTCGGCTTTTGTAATTGGTGTTTTATATTTGCGTTAAACCTGCTCTGTGGTGTGTGAGAGTGTATTTCTTTATTTATGTATTTCTTTACTTTTACTCTCTCGAGACAGACGTATGGAGTAACAAAGGTGGTTTTTAGATAGGTATGCATTCTATGCTATAGTAAATATATTTCGCGATTTAAACGGAAAAACACGTTTTGTGGTCTTCAGTTAGCAAGAGAGTGCTGTTTTTGTTTTAGCACTTCCGTACTCCGACTTGGGGTCTGTCCGTGTGTGTGTCTGTGAACACTGAACTATTCATACAACGTTTATCAAAATGAATTTTCCATTAACGATCTGGCGCGAATCGAGACTCTGCTATTTTGAAAATTATTCTTTAAATTTTGGGGATAATTTAGTTGAAGTTCAGGAGGGCATTTTGAAACTTTTCTTCCAAAGCGGCTACGATGTTTTTCGCCCAACATTCGTAACTACAGTGGAACATCCGCCACCGTCGGCACTCGAACTCTACGATCTCCCAGTCAGTGACAAAGAAATCTGAAGCGATGCCACCGAGTACTCGCAAAATTGGCAAAGGGCCCTTAAAAATAGTAACCAAGTGATATTTCCATTACTAAGTTTTAATTTTTCAATGAGCGTATGAAAAGGGAGGACGAAAAGCTTCTCATAGAGGAAAACTCGAAATGTTTATTTCTCACAGCGTCAATTTCAGCTAGCTCTATTTTGTTTATTAAAACCCGAAGGTTCCTAGTAGTTCTTTCACATTCAATAAAACTCCACAATTTCATTGCCAATAATATTATCCTGATATGATTACGACAAACCATTGTAAGGAGATGTGAACATCTTTATAAATCGTTATTTTTAGCTTCACGGATTGTGTTAATGTTTGCTGTGGGGGCACATTCAAAGAACACAATAAGTTAACGAAATTGTGGACATTTTCACTATTACGTAGTAGAGACGTTATTGGAATGATGATTTATTCTTTCCTATATTCAGAGATTTTCTGTGTTTCATCAAGATGACCTCGACATTTACGTATTTAGAACATTTGTAAGAACTCAAGTTTCCATGATACGTCATGATCTCAAACAGTTAACTTGGATTCTGAGGGTAGTGTCAATAAGTATTTGCGTTATCGGTGTCGAATGGAAACGAATGCTTCTAGGAATTGTTCTGAACTTGAGATAATTGAATATTGAAAACATGTTTGAATTGCGAACTTGCATCTTCATTGATATTTACTTAAGTTCACATTCCTTCAATTACAAATGTCCATAGATAAACGTATGACAATACTGTAGCACGTGTAACGGTATTATTACTTTTTCGCATACTCCATGCTGATGCTGTGTGCTTCAAAAGACAGATCAACAGGTTAGAATGAAATTATGAATGTTATAATAATGTATTTACATTTTTGAAACGTGTGAATACTGGGGACCCAGAAGTCTTAATGCCTATATTTATATTATATAGCAATGTAGGCAAAACTACTGTTTTCTTCCTTCTTGTTTTTTTTAGGATGTAGCCTGTCTTTTTAAACAAAGGTAAGATAGTTTAAAACAACTGACATTCCTTGTAATGACTTTCATGCGTTCACATTCTTCGTTGGTCGGACTGTCATAAACTCCTGTCAAAGTTTCTTTCCGTCGTATTCCATTTTCGGGTATATTTAATTTAAATTACTTTTCACAATTGTATATCTTAAAAAATTGGCTTCCTAAGAAGGTTCCCGGGAAAGCGAGTATTATGATTCGTGTTTACAACAATCTCCGCCTGTTTCGCTTTAAAACGCACGGCGGAAGGAGACAATTTTCAGGGGGAGGTATTTCTGGAAGCCGATTGCTGCCTTTTTCTTGCTACCAACTTCAGGATTGGTCGTTAGCCGACTTGTGTAGTATTTCTAAAATGTATGCGGTATTTGTTAAACAAGGGGAACCCAAAGTATTTAGAATAAAATGAAAAATTAGAGAGCTGAAAACCAGGGATATCTAACTAGCAACTATGATCTTGGTAATATTTTCTAGCATTGTGGCCGCATGTTCGTTGCACCCCGCTAGGAACTTCAATCGTATGTAGCGGAGACACGAAACGAGCGTTTTCTAAAACGGACTGAAGAAAAGACTTGCGTGGGAACTGCGTAAGGATTGACTGCCAAAAAAGTTGTCATGAGATGCTAATTTCTTATAAACAGTTACTTATCTCGAAAACAAAAGACGACAGCGCCGCTCGGTTTACGTAATTTTGCATCTCGTTTAAAGGCAATTTAGAAATGCAAATTTTTTGTGCAAAATTTAAATATTTATAAAGAATTTTATTTTTTTTAATTCTAAAGTGGGAACAGGTCTCTAATGTCCCACTTTATTTAATGAAATCTTGAGAATATAATCTTGAATGGGTTCTATTTTTTAATTTTCTATGTAGTTCATTGCTTATGGACCACAGAGCTTTGCTAATTTTCCCGAGGCGTTTGTTTTTGAGAGTTTGTTTATAAGGCTATGGGCTGCTTTTGTCGAGACAGGGCTCGCGTAGGTTAACAAGGGTCTGATTACTGATCTGTAGATTATTTTACATTATTCAATGCTAAGTGTAGATTTATGATTTAGTGTGGAGTAGAGTTTTCTAATTTTTTTGTATATTTTGTTACTTAGTTTGTGATATGTGTTTTCCGGTTTATTTTTGTGTCCATTGTGAGTCCTAAGTACTTAACGGGTGTTTGGTTGGTAACCATGGTATGGGTATGTTTTGGATGAGTAAAGGGGAAGGTAATTTTGACTTACGAAGAGTGAAAATCTTTGCTTGTAGTTTCGAAGCGTTATTTTTAATTCTCCATTTTTCAGTCCATTTCGAAAATTTAAGTAAGTCATTTTGTAATTGATCTTGTGCGCTTAAAATATCCTTGTGAGATGTGCATATTGCCGTGTTAGCAGCAAACTAAGGTATTTCTAGAGTGTCTGGTTGGTGAATATCTGATAGGTATGTTGAAGAGAACGGGAGAGAGAGAGGATTATTGAGGGACCCCTGCGTCTATTGTATGTTTTGATTCCTAGGCTAATTTTGTTCTTCCATTTTTGGATGACATCATCCGAGTATGTGTTAAACAATGTTGGAGATAGGTTACATCCTTGGCGAACTCCTTAATATGTATTATTTCTTTTGAATAATATCCTTCTAGTTCTAAAATAACGGAGGTATTCTGATACAGAGATTTAATGTTCATGATTAAGGGGTGTGGGTAATCTCTTTTTCCCATGGGTCTCTAGATTAAATTTCCTACATTTTTCTGTAAGTTGTCGAATGGTAAAAATATTATTGGTACAGGGGCGTCCTTTTTTGAAACCATTTTATTCTTCTATTATTAAAATATCAGAAATATTAACAAGCCTTTTATTTAAAATGTTTGCATTTTTATAGCATGTTAGTAATAAACCAATACCTTTATAGTTGTCACAGTAGCTTCTTTTCTCTTTTTTAAATAGGTAAATGGCTTTTACTATTTGCCATTCATCAGGGATACTGCATTGCTTTCAACATACATTTAATAGGTGGAGGTGTTTTAGATTTAACAGCAAACAACCATATTTAAATAGTTCCGCATTTATTTCGTCAAATCACGTAGCGTTTTGATTCTTTTTTCCTTTATTGCTGTTTCTAATTCTTCTAAATTGATGTAATTTACCTAAGATTGCGCAGGCATTTCACATTGGATATTTTTATCTTTAGAATTAAATCGTCTGTCTATTTCGAACTAAATAAGTGCAAATACCGTTCCACATTCTAGAGCGTGCAGACTCACGTAGACTCGATCGATCTCGATGTTTATATCTGTTGCAATTCTTGTATGTGGTAGAACTTGTTTCTTCCTTAACCAAATACAGGTGAAGTTTGATCACTGCTGGGTTAGTGTGTCAGTATTTGAAAACCTTTCCTTCCACAAGAATGGCATTTAAAAGGAAATTCCAAAATGTAACCTGTCGCGCTCAAGTTGAGGTCTCGCCGACACATCAAGTGACACGAACGAGTAAGGTCGTTGTGGACAGCTTTACCGTATTAAGGCGATCTCGGTACGTTGAACTTGTCCTGGTTTGAGAGACATTGTTACGTATGTCCTTGGAAGGAAATCAATCGTCGTGTCTTGTACTTGGAATTTGAAATGAGGACTCCAAGTACCTAATACGGCGAAGTCCTCGAGAAAGAAGATCATATAGTGAGCTACTAAGTTAAAATGCATTTCTATGGATCTTAAAATCAAGAGCTGGTTGTGAAGTTTTTGTTTCTTTGTTTGTTGCTAAATCCACGTTTTTGTTTCGTTTTTCAACGATATTTAGTGACAAAAGATAAATAGTAATTACGAAACGTCACATGTGAACATCTTGTAAATACGTGTATGTAAATCAGTTTTCCAAAACATTTTTAAAATGTAAACATCGATATTTTATGTTACAGATGATCAGTAAACCTAAAATTTCTAACGAAGTACATAAATGGAACACAAGCAACTCTTATGGATTCAGGCATCGGCTACTAGCTAATGGATTCGCATAAAACCCTGCACAGACCAGTATGGACATGTCGTTTGTATGAAGGCCTGACCTGTTGCCTTGTGTTGCAGAACCGGCTGACGCCTCTCCCGACAAGGAGTCTCGCGGCTTGTTCTCCCCGCGAATGGACTATGACGAATGGACGCCGCTGGGTCGCAGAGACCCTCTCAAAAACGACCCTACGTATGACTACGTGCCGCCTGTGTTGGAGCGTGTCCATTACTGGATCGAGCCGTCGTCGCGCACTCCGGACCCGCCCACCCTGAGCGCGCAGCGGGCGGAGCAGTCCCCAGCCCCTCGCCCGCCCAACAGCCCCACGCCCGAGGCGGAGGCAGCGCCCCCGGACGCCCACGACCCGTTCCTTCAGTTCGTGGACGGCCCCAAATTCGCCTCGACGCACCAACATCAGTTTTACACCGCCCATCATCACCATCGCCCCCACCAACATCAACATCCCCATCCCCATCCATACCCCATGCCTTTACTGGAAGGAACAGCTATTCAACAAAAACTGTCACCTGCAGATAACTCGTATAATAACTCAAACGGTTATCGACAGCAATCCGCTTCTATAAACCAATTATCACCATCAATGGGTGTGCAAATATATATCTCTTCTGAGGAGACGTCTACGACTACTGCTAAAAATATGTTTGCAACAAATCTCAAAGATCCTGTACGTCCTCAACAACAGAGGCCTCCTTACACCATGCTAATTCCTCCGCCATTACTACCTAATATATATAGCGTGTCTGAATATCAAAGTACAGCAGACGACCATTCAACAATTTTACCGTTACAAATGTACACTCCTGGTACTTCAACTCAGCCAAGTATTACACAAGAAGAAGCAAACCTCGTGTTTCATGCTACAATGGCTGACTGGAAGACAGATAAAACTCAATTAGCAACAGTTGCTGAGAATAATGATTTGACATTAACCACTTCCATCCCAGTCAATGAAGTAAAGAATCCAAAGACACCGTTCTTCACTGAGAATCAAGTTTTCACAAATGCTGATAAAACAGATCATGATGCCAATATTGGATTCTTACACAGCTTATTACAAAATGAAATGGTTCCATCACAACAGGATCAACATTATGATCATTTGAATACTGCTTTAGCAACTACAGCAACCAGTACGGAGAAAACATCTACAAGTTCTTTGCTAACAACAGATCCTTTGTTTTCCCATTACAAGCAACCAGCAGAACCACTCAGAGGACCCATGTATTTGATTATTCAAGGGCATTCTAAAGTGAAAACCTACGGTGCAAATAAACAACACAGTTCATTTCATGGGATTCCAATTCAAGTTAGTAATGAAATTCAACACCAAGCAAATGAAGCAAATGATACTAAAAGAATACGAAGAGAACTAAGGTATACTTCTTCAGATACAACTAAAAGATGGCTCTCTGCTTCCATTTAAAGAACTGATGGTTTTGTATAATCAGATATTTGAGACAATTTTACCTCAGAACTTCATTTAATTAAAATATAAAACACTACAGAAAGAAAAAATTAAAAGTTATTCAATAACTGAATAAAGGATTTGGAGGCACCCTTTAAAAAGTATATTATTATGGATGATAATCCAGTAGATGAAAGCTACGAGTTAAAAAAGATAAAAAAAACCTTTCTTAACAAAGGTAACAATCAAGAGCAGATACCATTGTTGCTTCCTCATTCGCAAGATTCAGAAAAAAGACTTTTGAAGAAAATAATTCATCGTGCAAAGAAACATGAACATCTTGACTGCTTGTTTTTTATTGTAAAAATATTATTTGCAAATGTCATAGAACAGTACCATACAAATGCATCAAAGTATCTGTTGTAATATATTTCTTCATTTGAATCCTAATACTTCAAAAATACCCTTCAAAGACATGATCTGTTACTTAGTATTCCATATAATTTACAAATATTTACTCTTTATTGCTGTGGGTACAAATACAGTATATACATAAGAATACACAATTCTATTTTTGAAATACAAAACTATGGATACTGTAATGCTGAAATTTAAAAATATATAGTCGTTTTGAGAATTCTTCTTCTGTGATGCAAATAATGTGTGGTAATTGCTGCGAATAAGTTGTGTAGAATTGCAAAGAAATGTTCGCAAGGGGGTGGAGGCATTACTCCCAAGCTCTTGTTGATCCTGTGGCTCTCTTTGATCCGCCACTGTCACAGTGAATCATGTCTGTATTAAATATTTAATACATTTGTAATTATTTTTATTATTGATAAATGTATTATCAATCAAAAATATTTCATTTCCTTCATTTTCTGAGAACCCAAAGATTCATTCCAAATCATGTTGTATATTCATTGTTGTGTAAGTAGAAAAGTAAAAAACTGGGAACTTCAAAATATTTTCAATTTCAAGTATTTCAAAGAATCAAGCATCTACAGTTTTCATTAGCTCCTTTCTTTTTTTAGTTTTTCTACAATGGTATTTCAAAAGACAGTAAGATCCTCTACAGCTCTACTTACTCCAATTTTAATCACTTTCAGTAATACTCTCTACCAGTATTGTGCAATGTTTTTGGTATTTCAAAGAATTTATTCCTTCAAAAAAAATTAGGAGCCTCACAATTTGCATATATCACTCTCAGCACGTGACTTGCTGCATGCATTGAAAAATATCTGCCTATTGTACGAGTATAGTACATCTGCCTACAGTTCCAAATAGCAACCCTTTCACTTCGTTTATCTAAACAGAGTTCAACTAGTTAAATCATAAGGGTCCTTCTAGGTAAGATGGTAAAACGTTCTCCAAAACCAAATGAGATATGAATAGTTAAACAATGTTTAACATAAAAATAAGATATTTGAAAGGTTTCTTATCCCTCCCTCCCACCACCACCCCTCTACTGCCAAAAACATGTTTTTTTTCATGAACTGAACATTATTTTACCGTTTGGAAAATAGTATTGAAAATAAGAAAATAATGTTTACTATCAGAAAAACATTTTTTGATATTTACGAGTGGCAAAATCAAACCCAAAAAATCACTATTTTTGAAAAACAATGTATTGTGCCTTTCAACCCTGGAACATCTACGAAAAAATCTCTATTCAAAACATTGTTAGTTGTGATTGTTTCCAGACTTTTTTGAAAAAAAAATTTTAAAAAAACTCTTTTTAAACTTTTCCCACCTTTAAATCACTTATGACTTTACATGTCTTTGACTGAGTGCAACACTTCTGCTCATTTATTTTAGTTTTTATTATACATTTGTATACATTGTTATAGAACCCAGTAAGTTTTTGACCTTGGAAGGAAGTTACTAATGATCATATTTTTTAAAGCTTTGTAATACATGTTTGTATGCTAGATAATACGCTAAGGAAAGATGCTGTTTTTTGGCAGCTTATAAAAAACCGTCGCAACAGAATCCTGTAACTGTGCTACATATCAGGGTACAGAATTACACTCCAGTACTACATACAAATTTATTTACGAATCTGTAGTTTTTGTCAAGAATGACTGACATAAGGTGGGAACATATTTTTATGCAATACTGATACACTTAATGCAATACTGATATACTTAAATCACAACACATGTTGTATAAATCGCATTCATCAGGTATTAGTATCAACAACTCACTACAAGAAATCCACATATGTACATGTATGTATTTTACTACACATTGTTAAATGATATTAAACAATTAAAAACGGAACACAACTTTAAGTTAAAAGTAAAATATTTTCTGCTACAAAACTGTTTCTATACTATAAGAGAATACACTGACCATCAAATATAAAAGTAATACTATTCATTTTAACAATGATGTGTTACGCATTAGTTGTGAAATGTTTAAAAAAACTTAATATGCTTGTAATCAGAAATGCACTTCAGCTTCCGGGTCAATGACCCCTACCTCGATAAGGTTTTTGTCTAGACATCCTGATCCATTGAGCAAATGCTGCGATGACCCCTGATGTGCTTCTGGACAAAAATGCAGCTTCATTATCCGCACTTTCCTTTTGCTAGTAGTGGTAGGAATAGAACCGGGAAGGCATTACTAATGTAATCTTATTTTTATCTTAATTTTATCTTAAATTAAATCCGCTGTTCGTTTTCCGATGCAAATAAGTTTTCGATAATTCAAGAACGAAAATGTCGTTATTTATAATTTTATTATTATTATTATTATTATTATTATTATTATTATTATTATTATTATTATTATTAATCGTTCACAGTTCACTGGTACTGAGCAGAATTCACACAGATATCTATCAAAGCATGACTTCTAAATTCTTAATACATATTATAAATTAATTGTATATCAATAAACAAAATTAGTAGTTCTCGTAGACACATGCATATTTATGTGTACAATTCAAAAACATATTTACATTGATTATTGTAGAACCTATAATCTTCCATTACTTACAAGAAAGTTTTTGATCAATGTTCGTTCTGAGTAATACAGATTTCTGAACACTAATGGCAGCAATCTTTTTAATTCTGAATGTTTCTAGCAAGTACTTTAAGGTCTTCGAAATGGTGTCCGTTCCTGAAAGAATGACTGGGACAGTTTTGTTTCTAGGATATTCCACTGTTCCTTTCCAATATGAGCCAATTCTTGGTACTTCTGGATCTTCTCCTGATACACTATCGTAAGATTGCTAGTATCCACCATTGGTGTATTCACAAACCATACCTTTTTCTGATTTTATCCCAGAGTGTTGTCGACTACTTCCTGGCAGAGGGAGAATCGACCACCCACACCTGAAAACGGTCCAACTGGGGCCGTGGCCCTAGTGACGACAGCCGGAGGCGACGGCCGAGCAAGGGAGGCTGCAGCCCGGGACTTCCGCTCCACACGGCCGGAGGCGACGGCCTGGCGGGCGAGGGAAGCGTCACGCCGCTAAGAAATTGGGGGATTGTTTTGGGAATAGCATTTGAGTTGTATAGAGTTTTGCCAAATGTACGAAATTAAACCGAATAAAGCTATGTTTAGCCGAATAACAATATATTATTTCCTGAACATAACAGGTATGTGTGATCTGCGTGTTATACCGGAGATTCTTGAACACACACTATACAGTAACATTAATAGAGTTAAATCCTGTGCCGACATTCATTGAGACTTTAGTGAATCGTGTACTTGCTTGATAAAAATAATGAGCGTATGTGTTACGAGTCAGTCAGAGGTTCTTTTCTTCTTTTTTAAGGAATATTAGAGGCGTTAGACCACAGCTGCGTCGAATTTCGCTGGCCGTGAGGACAAAGAGATGCACCCCCGCCCCGCGAATAAGCCATGTTAAACCGTCGTACCAAAAATGCAAAGGAAATTTCTTTGTACCATGAGCAAAGACTAGAGGCATTGGAGCGAAGATCGTCGCGCCACAGCTCCCAAAAACTGTTTTTTGGGAATCAGGGTGAGGCGCTCGGATCAGGGGAGGGGATTGATGAAGCCTTCGTTCTGTCACGTGCGAGGCTTCTAAACCATGCCGCTTCTGTCTTTCGAAGATGCACTCGGTTCCTAACTTAGAACTTGGCGTCCGTCTTTTCGAAGAGTCACTTTGTTTCTGTCTCAAGCTCTAACTTGCAATGACTTGGTTTTTGCATCTCGAGCATGCGTCTCGAACTTGACTTCGCACTTGCAATTTTACATCTCAATGAGGCACTTTTAATGTCTTGCGTTCTAGCTTGAACTCGCAATGAATTGTAGTACTGACTTGCGCTAGCATGAACTTGCGTTTTAATTTCCGCACTAGAACTTAGAACTAAAGAGCTTATCTTAACTTGTGCCTCGACCGGTACTTCGACTGCGGTCTTCCCTGATTCTGGACTCGAACTCGGCCTATCACCACGCTACCGCGACGTCGCCGACGCCACAGTGGGTCATGAACTGGCGCATCGTCGTCCTGTGTCCGGCCTGAGTGAACGAGAGAGGGACGGCTGATGCGTGCCGTTGGCAGCCGTCATCACGCCACACCGCCGCGTGCGGCTGTGACAGAGTGTGAGGGTGCCCGCTGCGCCACAGGCGTTCGGCAAGACTCGTCACGCTATTGCACAGTAAGAGTTTTGTGGATGACCATGAATCCGGCTCCTGTCGTCTCAAGTTTCCCGCTGAAAGGCGGAGAGACTGCTCAACGACGGAAGCTGAGACACTAGATGCCACCAATATGGCATATTATTTGTAGCGGCCAAATTCATTTGTTGTTGGTGTTGTAATTACTTGAATAAAACTAGTAAGCCGCAATAACTAAAATCATAAAATGTAATTTTGTAAATTCATTCATTTGCATGCTCATCATCATTTAAATTTTAATTAAATGTGTTGTGGAATTAATTCTGTATGTGTTTTATTGAACATGCAATTCCTCATCCAAAGACTGACCAGCAGGTTACACCATGGTAGTACCTGCGCTTGACACCAAGCTTTTTATCCAGCGTTGCATT